CTGTGTCCCCCTTTGTTGCCTCTCCCCTTGGCTGTGTGTCCCCATCCCCATGCTCTCTGTCCCCCTTCATCCCCTCTCCCCTTGGCTTTGTGCCCCCTTAACCCTCTGGCTCTGTGTCCCCTTTCCCCCCGGGTTCTTAGCCCCATCACCCCAAGCTGTGTACCCCACTCTCCCCTATTTGCCCCCCTCCCCTAGAGCTGTGTTTCCCCCTTCATCCCCTCTCCCTCTGGTTCTTTGCCCCAGCACTCCTGGGCTGTGAGCCCCTCTCACCCACGGGTTCTGTGCCCTGTTACCCAGGGCTGTGTGCCCCCCAAACCCTGGGTTCTGTGCCCCCAGGACCCCCAGGGTGTGTGCCTTCCTGACCCCTTAGACAGGGCTTGTGTACCCCCTGACCTCCAGCAGCACTTGTGCCCGTCGTGTACCCCCTGACCTCCAGCAGCACTTGTGCCCGTCCCTGTGCCATCCCTCTCTGTGTCCCTGTGCCATCCTTATCCATCCTGTGCCATCCCTCTCCGTGTCCCTGTGCCATCCTTCTCCATCCTGTGCCATCCCTCTCCGTGTCTCTGTGCCATCCCTCTCTGTGTCTCTGTGCCATCCCTATCCATCCTGTGCCATCCCTCTCCATCCTGTGCAATCCCTCTCTGTGTCCACGGGTTCTGTGCCCTGTTACCCAGGGCTGTGTGCCCCCCAAACCCTGGGTTCTGTGCCCCCAGGACCCCCAGGGTGTGTGCCTTCCTGACCCCTTAGACAGGGCTTGTGTACCCCCTGACCTCCAGCAGCACTTGTGCCCGTCCCTGTGCCATCCCTCTCTGTGTCCCTGTGCCATTCCTCTCTGTGTCCCTGTGCCATCCCTCTCCATCCCTGAGCTGTTGCATCCCTGTCCCCCGGGTGAGGTTGGGTTCCAGGCTAGGGTGGGATGTGTGGGGGTGGATGCAGCCTCAGGTGCTTTCCCAGGAGGAACCAGGTGTTGATTCTACTGTACCAACTCCTTAGTGTTGACTTTCTTCACCATTTCCCTCTCTCCACGCAGGCAGCCAAGACAGCACTCACCAGACATCCTTTGCCCACTGGATAAGGCCCTGTCGGGTTTTTTTCCTTCCTTGCTCAGCCGGCAGTGGCTGTGGTGGTGTTTGTGCTGTCTGACGTGGAGGGTTGGAGGGTTGAGCTCTCACAGTGAGCAGGAAACCACAATCTGGCCCGAAGCGATAGCCCTTGGACTGTTCAAGTAGGGGTTGGGTGTGTAAATCTCATACCTTGCTGGTCTGTAGGATTTATTGCCTAACAAATCATGTTTGCATAGTTGTTTTTAATGGGAAAATTCAGAGGCACAATAGGTGGTTTGTGTTAATTCTTGAATCAAACGACCTTTAGTGGAATCTGTGGCCTCACTTACTTCATCTAGTGGTCACAGCCTCAAACCTGCCAGAGCTCAAGGAGTGTTTGGACAATGCTCTCAGGCACAGGGTGGGATTTTGGGGTGTCAGTCATCAAGGTTGGAAGAGACCTTGAAGATCATTGAGTCCAGTCACTGCTGAAACCCCTAACCCATATCCTCCAGTGCCAGACTCAGACACCTCTTCAACACCTCCAGGGATGGTGATTCCACCACCTCTCTGGGCAGTATCCCAGTGCCTGACCAGTTGGGCTCTGGTCCTTGTGGGTCCCTTTCAGCTCAGGATATTCTGTGATCAGATGCTCTTTGGGAAAGCATTTAGAACTGGGACTAAATTATCCCCATGTTCTACAGGGCAGGGAGTGGATGTGGGAGAGCAGCTGTGTCTGAGCCTGTTTCAATGCCAGAGCAGACTAAAGGCCCAACACAAGACCTGTCTTTATGTATTATCATGGTTGGAACAGTATAAAAGTGTCCTAACTCTTCCCATCTTGACCTACTACTGAGAAAGAACTTTATAAACTGCCAACTAAGCTGTGTGTGAGCTGCCAGAGGAGTTTATGACTGTGAGGAGTCAGATCACCCAAGCAAATTGGAGCCACTCCTGCACAGTAGCATCTCTAACTGTATCATTCAACACTTCAGCATGAAAAGTGGAGGCAAATTACCTAGAGAAATACCTTGGCTGAACTGTTAGGAAATACCAGTGGCTGCCTGTGCACAGCTCAGCTCAAACACATCAGTTCTCTCCTGATAGTGGCAGCTCTGGCTGTGAAATGGTGTTTAAAGGCTGGAAAATATTCAGGAGCGTAAATATCCTTTCCATTTTGAAATACAATTCAAGTATTGTTTGGTTTCAGTGCTGAATGATTTCTGGTTTGTTTTCCTTGAAGGTGCTATTCGAATCCCAACTGTGTCTGTGTCTCCAGACAACCTGAACACAACTGCCATGGCAGAGTTTGGGGCTTACATTCAGAGAGGTACTAAACTTTCATTCTTAGCTGTCTCTGCTGCTCCATTTCATTTTCCTAAGCTAGTTGAAGAGTGTATTTATAGTTCTTGAAGATAACAGAAGAGGTTTTACTTTGGTTTTCCTCAAGAAACACCTGTCAGAAGTGGCATATGTGTGTCCCCTCTGCAGCTGTGTGTTTTGGGGTAGTGAAAAGCTAGAACAGAGAAGGTTTAAACAGCTTTTTGCAGTGGTGATTTTGGCCCTTGAGATGGTTAAATGACATTGAAAAAAATGAAGTGGATGAGTACCACTGCTTCAGCCTGGGTTTTTTTTTGCTCCTTGGGGAAAAACAATTCCTGGGTTGCTTTAGGTAAAAGTTTTCAATACGAAGTGAGGTAGATGAGTAGATGTGTGAGAACTTCTCTGCTATGCTCAGCCTTGTCTGCAGAGCTCCCCTGAGCTTAAATAGGGGAGACTATGGAATATAGAATGGTAAAATGAGACATCAGTGTTGATTTTTCTTACATCTGTGTGTAATTTTTTTTCTCACCAGCCTTCCCAGCTGTATTTTCTTCAAAGTTCATCCAGCACGAGATTGTTGGGCAGTACAGCCACCTCTTGACTGTGGAGGGCTCTGAGCCTGCCCTGATGCCCTACATGCTGCTGGCACACATGGATGTGGTGCCTGCTCCCCCTGAGGGCTGGGAATTCCCTCCTTTCTCAGCTGCAGAGCACGAAGGTTTCATCTACGGACGAGGAACACTGGACAACAAGAACTCTGCCATAGTAGGTCCTCTTGGTGATGTCATTTCAGACAGCTCAAAGCTGAGTAATGCAGACTGGAGGAATCTCTTCTCCTGAAATTCATTGTGTTGTCTCTCTTGCCCCTGTTTAAGTGCAGGATGATAAATTCCTCAGCCCTGCAGTTTTCTCCCAGCTTTTCCTAGAGAAGCAGTGAGCAATGTTACTGAAGGAAGCAGAGTTAAAGCTCTTGGAAGAATCAGAACAACATATTCATAGATGAAAATGTGTTTGGTTGCCATACTTAAGATCTTATGGGACAGGTTTCCCAGAGAAGCTGTGGCTGCTCCATCCCTGAGAGTGTTCCAGGCCAGGTTGGATGGGGCTTGGAGCAACCTGAGCTGGTGGAAAGTGTCCCTGAAGTGTTCCAAGAGGTGGAATGAGATGATCTTTAAGGTCCTTCCAACCCAACCCATTGTGGGATTCTATATCAAATGCTATGTTTGAAATCAGAGATAGACTTTTCCTTTTCCCCAGAAGTCACACAAGGATTCAAAGCCAAGCTTGGCCCTTTGAAAAGACTTGAGTTTCAAAATAAACAGTGTTTCTTTAATATGATAGACAAATAACTCTGGATCTTTTATCCAGTTTGTGGCAGAACAAAGAGCTCTTGTATTAAGTACATTTGGGAGGAATAAAGTACAGAACAGATTGATCTGTGACGGATTTCTCATTGGGAAAAGGGTGATGGAAAAATTCAGAAAAAAAACGGCCCTTTGTGACTTGGGATGATTATTTCCATGCCAGCCTTGTATTTAAATTTAAATGTTGAGCAAACAGGGTCAGGGATGCTGTGGCTGCTTCTTGGGGCAGCAAGTTTCAAGTAACTCCACAAATGGACCAAAAAATTCAGCAATTTCAATGAACATGGCAAAAAAAAAAATCACCAATTTCAGGGATGGCAAAAAATGGGTGCTGAGAGGTGAAGAAGAAGGTAGAATGATTTCATCTCTGCCTTCTACTGAGAGGGTAGAGATGAAATCCTTTTTGTGGTGTGGAAAATTATGCAGTTTAAGGTGGAAAAGCAGCTGAGATGGGATAATGGAGCAAACATGTTGTTCTACTGTGTATCTGCCATAGCACATGGCAGATTTGCTTTCTCATTCCTCTGATGGAGTTTCTTGGCACTTCTTGTACAAAATATGCTGCTCATTAGCATCAGTGGATTTGGTAGCTCCAGTCTGTGTGCAGGACAGGCAGTTTCAGGGAGCAGTGGATTCCCTGGATAATTATAACTCTGTTGTGCTTCCTGAGCAGTTTGTCCCTGACAGCAGCAGCAAGAAGAAGCCACACTCTATTTTGTGCACATACACACACACTCCAACACCCTAAATCAGAGCATTAGGGATCAAAACCATTGCAGTGTGTTTTCCAGGGAATGGGAATGTCCTCAGGAGGAGCTGTAGGGAGCAAAGCTCAGCTGTGCACAGCACGAAGTGTCCTTAAGAGGAATCTCAAACCTTGTGAAAGCAGCACATTCCCTTAACTCCTTGAGGGCTGTGAAAGCAGCACATTCCCCTTCCCTCACTCTGCATTCCCTGAGCTTATTCCAATGGTACAACACATTCTGCTTTTCCTACAGGGCATTCTGCAGGCTCTGGAATTCTTGCTGAGGAGGAATTACAGACCCAAACGCTCTTTCTATGTTGGTATTGGCCACGATGAAGAGGTATTTCCTTTCCTTTCATTGAAATAACAAGTTGTTTGCAGTGTTCATGGAGGTAACAAAGCTTAATTTTTAAACACTGCTTAGCTGGAATGTCTTTCCTGCTTTTTCTTGGTCCTGTGGGCAGATACTATGTCAGGCACGAGGTCAGAGTTACATATTGATTGTTTGGCTTTAAGTGATGTTGCCAAAGGGTCTGGTGTGAAGAGCAAAGAAAGGAGAACACTGTAGGGTGTTCAGATTCTCTTCTGCAAGGAAGGTGCAGCATTTTGGGGTACAAATAGGGTGTGAAAAGCTGAGTTAAGCTCCTCATGTTGCTCCAAATGATCAGGAAGAGCTGACAGAAATATTCCACTTTCGTGGAAGCTGATCAGTTCCTCTGCCTGGATTCTCACAGGTGTCAGGTTGGAAGGGAGGAATGAGAATAGCCGCTCTGCTGGAAGCCAGAGGAGTGAAACTCTCCTTCTTGCTGGATGAGGGAAGTGCAGTCCTGGATGGCATCATTGCAGGAGTGGAGAAACCAGTGGCTGTGTAAGAACACAAGTGATCCATTTACAGTCATTACTTTGTAATAAATGACCTTGCTGATGTCCCTGCAGTTTGTTTCTGAGGCATGGGGCAGAGTTGGTGCTGCAGCAGTGGCACAGAGTGGAAGGAAAGGACCTTCCCTTGCTGCCCAGCACAATGTCCCCCTGAGTCTGTGCAAGCATTTCATGCTGCAGAGTCTCCTCACTGCAGGAGCAGCCAAGACATGAGTCCTCCAGACATCTACACCTTGTGTTAAGGCTTTGTTGTCGCTGCCTCTTGGGTGGTTTTTATGCTCCTAAAACTATGCAGGGTAGTTCTTTATATCTGTAATCTGTGTATGTGTGTGTTTGGTTGAGTCATTTATTGATTGATTGATTTGTCATTGACCAGAATTGCCATCACAGAAAAGGGTTCAATGACACTAAACTTCAGTGTGGAAAAAGACCCTGGACATTCATCCTTCCCTCCTAAGGAGACAAGTATTGGCATTCTTGCAGCAGCAATGTCCAGGTGAGAGTTTCCCTGTCATCCAACACCAAACACAGCCAAGCAGGTTTCTAAGTCATTGACAGGTGACTGGGTTAAGATTTGCATTTAGAGTCTTTCCCAAATTCCTGTTCTGTGTTTGAAACTGCAGTTTGTAGCTCCCTGGGAAGGGCAGAAGTACAACCCCAGCAAAGGGACAATTACCATGTGTCTGCAGAGTCTCCTCAGCTGTTCCTAGTGCCAGGGGGTTCTTTAAAAGCAAGACAAGTGCTGTCCACCCTGATGTACTCTGGAGCAACAGAGATTCCTTTGGGTTGCAGGATTTCTCTGGAATTTGCTCTTGCACACACCTCCTACCTCTAGCTGCTAATTATCCAGGCCAGTAAACATGGTGTCACGATGGGACTGCATAAATCATCTCTCTACATGTCTGTGTCGATACCAAATTGGCTAATAAACACGTTTTAGGGAATTCTGGTATGTCCAGACAGGGTGGGATGTGGTGTGGTGTTTTCCTAGACTTCCATGTATTTGTAGGAGTCAGGATTTGGGATTTATTTGGCTTTGCCTGGGACTGGAATGCTCAGGAATCTGTCATGGAGTTATGCTTACAGATTTGCTGACCAGGAGAGGAAACTGTGGTTGCATCTCAAATAAATGGATACAACTCAGAAATCAAATTCCTCTAGTAGTCACTAATAGCCAGGGATTGTTTTCCACATGTTTTGCAGACTGGAGCAGAATCCCTTACGCAACCTGTTTGGCCAAGGGCCAGAGCTCATGACCATGGAGCACCTTGCAGCAGAGGTGAGGAGAGCAGCAGGATTTCACTCCCAGATCCTCAGAGTAGCAAGTGGAGCACAGTCAGGTAGTTCCTGGAAAGGAGGAGGTTTCTTAAACCTTTTTCCCAGGGAATTGTTTCTGCTGGAGTTGTTTCAGCCATAGCCAAGTGACTTCACTGAGCTCCTGAAATCTATAAACTGTCTGATTTGTGGTTTTATTTCTTGCCCTCAGTTTAGGTTTCCTCTCAACCTCATCATGAGCAATCTGTGGCTGTTTTCACCTGTTGTCAGCAGGTAAGGTAACAGAGCCTGGATAAACATTCTCAGCTTCTCACCCTGAAAGGCTGAAACCATTTCTAGCCTTCCCAGAAAATCAGTTAGAGCATTTTATACTTCAGACAGCTCAGTGGTTTGCTGTTAACACCCACTTTGTGCATTCACTGGGCCATCATTCAGCTGATTGCCTGTGGAATTGTGGGCCTTGTGTTTTAGCAAATTCTGGAAAAAAAATGTTTGTTTCTTTCTTCTTTGCCAGAGTTCTTGCCCAGAAACCTTCCACCAACGCCTTGATCCGAACCACAACTGCAGTCACCATATTTAATGCAGGAATCAAGGTAGATACACTTGGATTTTTCTCCTTGTGGTAGGGTGAGACAATTAGGGTGTTTGATTTCCAGCTGTTTCTATCCAGGTGTAAGCACAGACCCTGTGTGGTGTCACCACCAGGTTCATTCTGCCTTCAGATGTGGTTTGGATTTGGCTACAGGAGAAAATTGCTTCCTTTCAGAGGGATCTGATCTCTGCCAAGCAGAGTGAGGGTGTTCAGATTTTGGGATAGAGAGGAAAAAGGTTTCTGTTTAATCCTAGAAAGTGTCCCAGTCATTTATTTCCCTGGCCCAGGTGAGACCTTGTGTTTGTAGCTCAGGTGTTAGTGTGCACCTCGGGCTGAGAGATCACAGGTTCTGGCTCATGCAGCCACATCTTGCCCTGACAAGAAGGTGTAGCTGTCCGAAAAGACTAATAAAATGAAAATCAATTTGGTGTGTTCCTGGAAAATCTGGCACTGAAAAGCATCACTGGACAAGAAGATGCAGTGGCTGAACAGTGACACTGAGTGGCCAGGAGAGAAGTGACAGCCTGAGCTCTTGGGTGTTTTGTCTAAAGATGAGACATTTCTTGCTTAAC